GAAAAATCATGTTTTGTGAGGAAAGCCAGGTATATCTTGCTTTCAAGAACACCCATTTGTCAGAGTTTGGGATGACATCAAGGACAGAAAACAGACCTGTAACTGCTGTCTTTCTCTTAAACCAAAAGTAGAACCCAGCACAGTTTATTTTACAAGCAGCCTCCACCAGAGCTGAATTGAGGAGCTTATTAAGACCACAGGTCAAATCATCAGCTAGTATAAATCACCGCAATTCCACTGACCTCAAATAGTGCTATGAAACCTTCCAGCAGCTGAGGAACAGACTTTACTAGCTGCTCTATCAGGCAGTAAAAATTCAGGAAGACATTCCTCATACTGGAAATTTCTTCCAGAAATACTGGCATTCATGTGTGCATGTGGGGACACATGGACGCACAGTTAAAATAAATAGCTTACCTCATTCCTTCAGTTGATCTATTCTGGTGGTTCCGGTAGAGCTGTGGGATACCTAACATGGCCTCTGTGAACACAGCAAGGAAGCCCAGTGTTTCCACAAAGAGAAACGAGTCAAGTGAGAGGTAAGTGATGTATCCTGTAACCCCAGTGAAAGTCAGAACACACTGCATGTAGTCTGTAAACTTGCTCCAGTGCCAAAAATACTTCAAGTCAAAATCTGAAACAGAATATTAGAAAAAGTCAGGATGAAACATCCCAATTCACTTTATTACGCTTTCTTAATCTTTAACTGGGTAGACTTAAAAACAGGACCTCATGGGGCAGTCAGCACCATCCTTGATGTGAGGGATTAAGTGAAGTTGGGAGGGAGGACGAGGAGGAGGAAAAAGAATTAGAAACCCAATGCCCAAAGCCAAAATGGAAAACATGACTACGGCACACACTTGTCATGAGCGGGCTGATATGGAATCAAAGAGATGCAAACATTTCCCATCTCTTATCATGCTTCCAAATCTGACTCTTATCAGAAGTCACTGCCCTTCCAGGAGCAAACAAAAGCAACACAGAACAATTTCTGAGATTGCTAAAATAACGGTGCTTTACAGGCAACGCACACTACAGGCACCCTGCCCCAAAGCACCTGTGATTTAAATGCATTCAAATTCAAGATCATAATCCTTGTCTTCTAGGATACTAGATACCTAGAACATCACCTGAAGCTCTTGAACTAAGACAGTGGTTGATAACTCTGCTCCTCTGGCATAATGCAATGGTCTTCTCCAAAGATAACACTTGTCCATGTAGGAGGCAGAATGTTCCCAACGGGCTGGTGAATTTCCCTAGGAACCAAAGACCCACCAACCACCTCGACACCTTCCATTTCAAGCACAAGGTGAATGCCGATTTTACCTTTCCTAATACGGAATGCAGCACAACACCTATTATTACCGATCTCAACACCACACCAACAACACAAAGCACTGTATAATACAAAATTCCCCCCTCTCCCTGCGGGAGAAAATGAGAAGAAGAATAGGCCACATATATAGATATTTGTCACGCAACTCAAAGCATGGTTGGAAGCTACTTCCCCACTTCAGTGCTGAGGGTCGTATAGACCACAACTGATAGGTAAATACATAGCAACAGGTTTATTGCAAAATGATAATTCAACCTCCAAAATAAATACTCCTGAACTAATGACTTACTGGTAGCTACCGTACCAGCATCTTCTACTCTAAGATTTTTTTATTTTTTTTTTAAAGAAAAGAGGGGGTGGGTTTGTGTGTAAACCCCCCCCCCCACCACCAAAACCACACCTGTTTCCCTAATGACTTGATTCCCTTGCTCATCCAAAAAAGGTGACATGGGGACCACGTATTAACCTGAAGCAGCCAAACTGTTTCCAGGAAGCAATATACTGATTGGCAATCAGCATCTTTGGTTCTCTCATAAAAGAAAAAAAAAATTTTAATCTACTGTTAATAGTAATCTACTACCAAACATCATGTCAGACCTGTGTTTTGTCCCTAATCTGTTCTGCCTGATTTCTCAAGTTGAGTTTTGGAAAGTGAATATGTGCCTATCTATTTAGGTACCTGAATACCATACTAAGATCTGTCTCTTGGACACCTCTATTTGCAAGTCCAAGTGAATGTCAGCCTCTGTGTCCAGCAAATCCAATTCACCCAAATAAATGAAGAGGAAAGCAGACTGTATCCCCCCCACCAAGCTATAACAATCCTGTTTGGCTATTAGAGAGTGCCGTGACTAAGCACTAAATTGAACAATCTATAGCACAGCTATTCTCAAAGTAATGTTGACCTTGGGTATTTAAACCAGCGGTTCCTCAGCCTCAGAAGTCATCCGTGGTAAAGTTCTTTGATTAAGGATTTCACCAGTGCTGGCACTCTGAGCCAAGCTGGCATCCTAGAGCAGTCTGTTCCTGCTGTTCCCTGGAGACTGTGCCTGCTCTCACATGCTGAAAATGAAAGAAGAGTGCAAGAGGAAAGAAAGCAGCTGAAGAGAGAGAGACAGGCTGGCAGCTACACCATTAGCAAGAGTACATTATTGCATTTCCAGGGCAGAAAGGAAAAGAAGACTCCATTAAATCCTAAATGTTAAGGGAGGAATGATAGCAGAATTCTCCCCCTCCCCACCTCTACCTGACCGGCACTTGAACAATAAACTGTAGCAGGAGGAGGGAGGGATATGGTAGATTTAACATAATTCTGCTTACAGTCATTCAGCTTTGCAGTCAGGAACATACACAACTTAACAAGATACAACACTGAGCACTATTCAACAGAGGCATTAGAAACAAAAGCACATTGTGGAGGGACAGGCATTTAGGTTTACAGTGGGGAACAAATTGTAGGCAGTAACTAAGGGAGGAGCAGAAATGTGGGTAAATGGAGCGACAGAAAGAAAAGGGAGAGAAGCTCAAGTACTTGCTGTATTTGACACATGATGATTAATTCTTTATTCAAATAGTATTATTAAGTAATAATTACAGAGGATAGCACTTATAATGCTCTTATATAGTGCTTGTCACCCACAGACCCCAAAAGGCAAGTGTCATCACCCCTGTTTTACATATGGGGGAACTGAGGCAGAGTGGCAAAATGACTTGCCCAAAGACGCTCATTAGATTATTAGTCAAGCCAACAACAGAGCTCTCAACTCTCAACTCCTAAACCAATGCTTCTCCACCTAATAGGCTTTAGCCCTACAGTCCCCTCTTAGGGGTGGGGAGAGCTACAGGCCCTGCAGAAAAATGACTTATGTTTGGGGAAAAGAGAATAGACATGCTTGAAATACAGCTTAACAACGTCCCTTTACAGCAGTGTTGCCCAACCTTTTTGCCCAGCGGGCCACATAGTGGGCCACTAACTAGATCCAACTGGTGGTCCTAATCTGGCACCTGAGGCCAGCATGGCAGGACCCCATCCAGCCATGCAGTGGTGGGCAGGGGGCAAAACAGCCCCAATCCAGCTGTGTGGTAGAAGGGGGCTTGGCCCAGACCCAGCAGCAGGGAGGGGACATGGCTCAGCCCTGATCCAGTCACGCTGGAAAAGGGAGCATGGCTGGGCTCTGATCTTGTCTAGCAGGTGAAGAGGGTGTGGTGCAGCCTTGATCCAGCTGCACTGGGGAAGAGGGCTTGGCTCAACTGAAGTTGGCCCTACGGGGTGGAACTTGGAGGGGTGGGGTGGGGAAGGGGAGGGGAGGGGATGTGGCCCAGCCTTGATCCAGTTACAGGGGGAGGGGGCATGGCCTGGCACTGATCTAGAGAAAGATGCAGCCTGGTTTTGACCCACTGCACAAAGCTTGGAAGTTTGGCAGCCAGGAGGGGTAGCAATATGAGCTGCCACTGCTCACCTGCTGCCAAATTTCCCCAAGCATGGGGAGCCCCACGGGCCAGAGGTCATGGCTCCGCAGGCCAGTTTTTTGCCTGTGGGCTAAAGGTTGAGCACCCCTGCTTTATAGGACTAATTTCAATTATGAACCTGAACAGCTCTGATGCAGACTTCAGATCTTTATGAAAGCAGGCACTGTGCCAGCCTTCAATGCTTAGTAAGTCAAGGCTGGCATCTGTTCAGATTACCCACCCTGTTCAAACCTGCAGTGGATTGAAGGTCTCCATTTACATTCCAGAAAAGGTCCATCCAACTCCTAGGAAACATCAACAGATAAAGGCTCTGAGCAACATAGCACAAACTCTAGCAGCCAGCAGCAGGTACAGCCAAGGAAGCTAGCAGTGCATGGGAAAGACAAACCTGACACAAAAGGCTCCTGGCCAAAGGCTTCTAACCCAAACCCAGATGCAGGCACGTCAAAAATGACAAGAAGGGAGGCACACTCTGCATCTCCTCTCAAAGCTTTTCTCCTCTCTCCTCCAGTAGGGCAGGAGGGATTGGGACTGGGAGTTGCCCGACAGGTCCCCTGTGGCAGTCAGCCAATCTGTGCTGCCTTGTGTGCTTCGCTGCTCTTCAACAGCTAGGGGAGCCTGCAAAACATGCTGGGATGCATTCACAGGAGCCCCCTGGCTGCACCCTGGTGCCAGCATAAGCTATCTGTGCGGTACCTATCCACCCCCTCCAACGTTTGTATAGCGCTCTCCTGGTAGGTTTTTCTACTGGGAGAACAAAACTGCAAGACTTCTCACAGTTCATTTCAATGCTTGTATGTGGCATCAAAAACAAAATCCAAGGCATTTTGTCTATTAGGGAACTTTTACATGTTCACCGGGGAGGGCGAGGGGGGAAGTAAAAGGTAAAATCCACTCTTTACTCCATTTTTCCATGGGAAACGGAAAAACCCAGATCCCTGCTTATCAGTGGCCACCTGCTTCAAAATGGTTGTGGGTGTGCTTGAACCAAAGCTCATTCAATGAGCTTTAGTTCAAGCACCCCTGCTGCCATTTTGAAGTATGGGAACACAAATACAAGAGACACAGGAGGTTGCTGGAGCGCAGTAACTGCCATGCTACAGCACATCGGGGCAGCCTCTGCACTCACGTATAGGTGCCCCTAGGTTTCTTGCTCAAACCACCATAAGGCTATATAAAGTCTAACCCACTAAAGTAAGTTCTGAATAATTTTTCATTTCAGCTATAATTGGTCCAATAATATTTTACTGAAAAGGGGGTGGGGAGGGATGACAAAGACAAGAACAATTATAACCCTGATAACAGCTTTTACAAGAAAAAGATCTGAATTATGTTAAAAACAACCCAGTACATAATCAGCAATTGTTCTATTTAACAGATGCATTTTCCAAATGCAGAAGACTATTTTGGTACATTACGCATCATAAACTACTGCATCACCCTGATACTGGCAATTCTTTCTTTCGGGAATAAGTAAAAATTGACTGGACTGAAATCGAAAAATACCAAACTTTAAGTAGATAATATCATGTTTACTCTTCATATGATTCCTAGTTTTGCTGGCTGTCACTTAGACTGTTGAACTAGCATTTTGTCATAAAAGAGGTTTCAGATGTTTTGCAAAGCAATTTGAGCCAAAACATGCTATCTGTTCTAACAATTGATTTTTCTTGAGCATCTGAAATCACAAATAAATCAATCCAAGGCTGGAAATAAACTGTGAAGCATTCCTTCCAAGTATCTTCCATCTCCAGAAGACTCTAGCTATATTAACTGAAGAAGTTATATAACATCAGTTATACACCTTCTCATAACAACAAAATAAATTA